TTTATTTATTATTTCTTTATTTATTTTTGGAAATTTCTTTTTATTATTTGCGGCATCTCTAGTGTGCTCACCTTGGTCTCTCCTTTTCCCTTGGCACATTCTTGACCCCGTGGGGGGTAGGGAAATGCTGCCGAAAATTTCAAAAAAATAAATATTGTTTTACATTTTCATCCTTTTACTTATTTCTTTAATTATTTTTATTATTTATTTATTTTCTTATTTATTTTTATTTTCTCTCGAAATCTCGCTGTTTATTTATTTTTCTCCCGCCTTCCCCCCCCTTATGCTTGCTCTTTTACTTTCTTGATTAGGTCATCGGTACCCTACCCTAACCACTTAAACCTCGGTTAGGGTTTTCCTTAGGGTTTTTGTAGGGTTTAGGGTTCCTCAAAACCCCCCTACTTCCCCGTCCTCTTCGGGCACCCTGGACCCGAACCACCCCTCCCCTTTTGATGGCGCCCGCGCTAGCCTTGCTAGTGCCGTTCGCCGCTTTCTACCGCGGACTTCCCCCTACGCCCTCCGCTCACGCGGACCTCTTCTGGCCCCCTTCAGTCCGTTCCGTCATCTCCCCATGGCGGACGGTGTGTCACACGCCGCCGACACGGCGATGACCACGGCATCGGGCTCCACACCCGTGCCGGCGGACCAGGGCCATCAGTCCTAGGGGGATCTGCACACCCTCCTCACCTCCTTCCTGACGCCTATCCAGGCGCAACTCGCGACCCTCGCGCCCTTACAGGCGCAGGTGGTGACCCTTGCCGCCGGCGTGCGGCAACTCCAGGACGCTGGTCGTCCTTCCTCTCCTCACCCTATCTCTTCTCCTGGCTCCCTGTCCGGGTCCCCCGCCTTCCGACAGGGTGGCCACGGTGGAGCTTCCTCCTCCGCTGCCCCCGACCCGGCCATCTTGGTGACCGTCCACGCACCTAGCACGACGACCGCCACGAGTCAGGCCCTCCCTCAGTCCACGGGCGCACCCGCCCAAATTCCGATCACGACGGCCACGAGACCACAAACCGCTACCATGGTCTCAGTTTTTCCGGGTGCCCCACTTCTCCCCCCTCTTCGCACAACCGCAGCGCCATCTGGCTCTCCCCCTTGTGGGATGCCTCGCGCCGCTCGTACGTCTCCCCCTGCCACACCTCGCTCGACCTACGTTCGAAGTCTCGAGGACGAGATCGCCCGGCTCCGAACCGACCTCGCCCTCTCACGCCTTCAGCCACCCCCACCCTCACAGGTGGCCGCGCCTTCCGGTGCACCCCCTTCTTCCTCTATTCTTCCTTCCCTGCAGGCTCCCTTCCCTCGCCCTGCACCCTACAAATCTCCATCCTACATCTTCCCCATCCCCTCGGTCGTCGCGACCTCTTCTACCGCAGCTCCCGTGCAGCCTGCCGCTGATTCCCCTGCCGCTTCACCTTGCGGCCCGGGCGTACAGTCAGTTGCGCCTCCTCCTCCTCCAGGACCTGCGCCAACTAAGTCTGCCGTAGTGCAGTCCCCTGCTTCCCATTCCCCTCACCGCCAAAACGGTGGCACACCACTCATCCGCTTGTCGGACATTCCCTTGTATGATGGTACAGGCATACGCGTGTCTAGGTGGCTGCAGGCTGCCACCCGCACGCTCCAGCTCATAGGCGCCACACCCGACACATGGGTGGGTCACCTCTCCACTCCCCTGCGTGGTGCTCCTTTCGACGCCTGGGAGGATTTCTATGCTTACTCCCTGCGTGAGGGTCGGACTCCGACCTTCATGGATTTCCAGGCGTTCCTCGAGGATCGCTTCGGAACCCGATATGACGTGACTGACGCCTTCGAGCGTGTCGTCACTACACGCGCCCTTATCGATCGTTTCTTGGCCAGCCTCCCGCTCGAGTACCGCTCCGAGCTATGGCGGTACGAGTTCACATCGGCCCCACCGGCTTACGAGGCCGCCAGGGACCATCAGCGAATGCGAGCCCTTCTTCACCCGGCCTCCTCCTCCCAGCCCCAGCGCACGGGCTACGCCTCCTCCTCCTCTCACGGCACTTCCCAGCGCCGTTCCCCTTTCCGCGGTCGCCCCCGCCGTTCCACGCAGCAGGGCCGCCACTTCTCGCGCCGCTTCAGCGAGCTGGATTATGGTGAGCAAGACGATGTTGCCCCACTGTCACCTGAGGGTGACCATAGCAACGACCTCGATCTCTGCGAGGCCGTCCACTATCACTTGGAGGACTCTACCCTCCCTGCAGCTGAGCGCCTTCAGCTCGCGCTCTCCGCCCTCTCCCGGGGACGCAGCCGCCCCGGTCACGCTGGCACGTCGCCCCCCGAGGTCCCTCAAGAGGACCTCCCTCAGGGCTTCGTCCCTCCTCGTGGTGTCCTTTCCCCTGAGGAGCGCGCGGC